CCTCCTGCCTCAGTCTCCTGAGCTACTGGGATTACAGGCGTGTGTCATTGTGTCTGGCTTCCTCTAGTACTTTGTACCTGACTCTGGACACTTGAAACTTTGGATCTTGTGTTGTAGCTGACGTACATTTCTTGCCCCTACTTCCCACCATGTGGGTGAGTCCCTTGAGGGCTAGGGCTGAGCTCACACTCTGGTGCCCACAGTACTGCTTCATCATGAATATCGCTCACTGGAGAGAATCTGCAAAGCTGCTTCTCTGTGGTGTTTCTTGAGCAGGAGCGGGATTGGCGTCATCCTCAATGAAACCTATGTAAAACAGGAAGAAGAACAGGACATCTACCACGGACAGAGGCTGATCCCTGTTTAGCATTTCAGTTCTATACTCTAGGGGTCAAAAAACAAAACAACAACAATAAACAAACAAAAATAATTAAAAAAAAAAAACCTTGCTGCTGAAATTAGGCTGTGAAGATGGTTGTACCCTGTGTTTTCTGGCAGAGCCTTGGCCACCTTTGGGTGGGGGCCATGCAGCTGAAGAGTGAGAATTTTCCTGTGGGAGTGGGAGGGACCCACACTGGGGAGAGCTGATAGGGAAAAGCTTTCTAGGTGTGGACATGTAGTAGGGAATCTGCCAGAGAAGCTGTTAGTTTCCTGTCACTTCTGGAACAAATCACCACACATTTTAAAATAGCACAAAATCATTTTGTAGTTTAGAAAGTTGGATCTGACATGGTCTCACTGGGCCCATGTTAGGATGTCAGTAGGACTGTTCCCTTCTGCAGACTCCAGGGAGAATCCCTTTCTGTGCCTTTCTGCTTGTATTCCTGGCTAGTGTCTGCCTCCACACTCATGGTGCTTTGCACAGGTCTAGCATATAGTTGCTGTTTCATAAATGTCCATTGGTGACATTGACTTCAAAATTCACTATTCACAAGTCATTCCACTACACAAACAGTGAATGGAAATATACTATTTTAAGCACAGGCTGTATTATGGTCTCTGGTCAGTATTCAGCAACAGGCTTATTTTTCATGTATTCCCAGAAATTTTACAACAATGGTACCAAGTTTCTGGGAGAATGAGTATAAGTCTCAATAGGCAAAATATAAACATTTTTATTATGATAAAAATCCAACTTGAATTGACATACTCCAAAAATACACCAGTGTGTGTTTTTGGAAAACATTTATTGCAATAGAGTGTCAAAATTTTTTACAAAAATATGCCACTGTCTGGTACAAACAACTATAAAAAAATCAGTTCATCATGCAAGAAAAGTGCAAATAATTTATACAGAAGGACTCAGCTCACGCAATATTAAATAAACATCTTTGCATGTTTGCAAGTAATCGGTCTAACTTACACTTTAAATTCAACCCACTCTACTATTTTTCACTAAAAAAGTACATTAAAGCTTCTAGACTTAGGACATGGACTATCATATACACCCCCTTCAGCCAGGGTGATTGGCACACAGTAGACCAAAGATGGCGCCAAATGCTCCCAAGCGTACAGCAGGGTTTGGAGCCTTCTGTTTAACAGACGTGTGCATTGTAAATTAAACAAAGTTGTCTATATTCAAAGATAGAAAGTCATGTTCAAATTCCAGAAGTAATGGAGCAGATGGAGTTTCAAGAAGTTCTTAGTTTTGGAGCAGCCATCCATTGTGAGCCAAATGGAGCAGGACTCAAGTTTTGAGAGATTTTTCCAGGAAGCTTTGTTTGCCAAGTTCAAAGACATTTGGAAAAGGCCTAGCATACAAAGTCACAAATATCATGGTCCCTTGCTCCTTCCTTGTTGCCTCATGGAATAGACTATTTGTGAAATGAAGAGGAGGTTTAATAGAGAAAGAACTTCCCCTGGGCTACAGACTCCATGTAACTTGCAGCTGGTGCTAGAGGAAGAGGAGATAGCTGGATGGGTTAAATGTACTCCTTAGTGTAAGGGGAGAGGAAAGAGCTACTTGGTTACCATCAGAACCTCAGTGTTCAGAAAACTAGCTGCTGCTCATCCTCGTGTTTTTATAAGGGTCATCTTTGTAATCAAAATATAAGTACCCAAGGGAAAAATGAATTTGTCAAAACATGCCACATACTTTATAGCAAGTAGGTTGTCCTCACTAGGACTCTGTATTCACACTGGAGGTCTGCATAAATATCAAGTGGCTCCTTAACTTCTCCAATAAGAATCAGGGATGTAAAAGGTTTGGAAGACTTAATGTCCAGCTGCCCATCGTGCAGCAGTCTCCAGTACCTTCCACAGTGCAGGTCTTGAGAAGAATGACATTAAGTGTTATGTGTCTCCAGCCATACCACCAGGTGACTGGGACCAGAGATGGGGACACAGGTCAGGCCCCAGATTTCCATCCAGCTGAGGCCCATCCCCTAAATATCCTGGACTTGCTTCCTCATCTTGAAGGCCTTCAGATTCCACCCTGACCACCCCTTCAGGTCTAAAGTCTCAGGAAGGAGTTTCCTTCATCTGGAAACCACAAAGATTTTACCCTCCATAAGAAAACATTGAGTTTTAAAGGAATTATGACCTTGTTTGTTGAAGCTAGTGAGGACCCCGGGTTTATCAAGGAGCAATGTTTTTGCATTTGCCTAGAGGTTCAGGGTGTTTCTGAGGTCTGTTAAAGCACTAATAGGGTTGCAGGCCAGCATCCAGTCAGAAGAGATGGTTCACAGACTCAGATAGTTGGAAAGAGATTAAAAAACAACAACAGATGTCAACATAGAAAAGTATGATAGAGTTTAGTTAAAAAACACACACAAAAAATTACAGTTAAAAAAATTCACACATAAAATATAGAGTGTTTGCAAATCAAGACATTATTGCCTGGCAGAAAAAATATAAACTCAGGTGCATATTTTATAATAAACATTGTGTTGAATGCTAAGAATGATACACTGTTGAACATCACTTGTAATGATTTATCTTCTTGTAAATCACACCACTTGCTTAGAAAAATGAAATTCTAAGCTTTCTCTTCTCCCATATAAAAACAACAGAAACAAGGAGCCTGTGTTAACAGCAAGCTCTGCAAGCTCAGAAAGATGAGAACTGGCAATAACATAATACACACCCATTAACTTACTTCACAGTTACAAGTAGAACCCACTCTTACATTGAGAATTTTGCAGTGTAAACCCTGTCCATCTGAAATTATCTCCTCCAAGCCACTCCAATATGAAATTGATCATGACTAACCAAGGATCATCTCAGGACTGATACCCCAGGGGGGATGTTTTTACCTTATAACTTTTGCTCTTTTCTGCTACCTGCCCTCCCATTCAACTGATTCATCTAATCAAAGTAACAGTGTTGCATAAGTATGTAATCTAGTTTAAAATGTCATTAGACTTTCTTTTTCTGGATCTTGCCTTAAAATGAGCACTCCTCAACTTCACATTTTCTCTTTTCCATAAATGTTGGCCCTTCCTCTTGGGAGGCTCTAGATTTGCTGCCTGTGAATCTCTGAGTTGGACAAAATCGTTGTATCCATATGGATGTGCTCAGAATGCTTTCCTTTGCTATAAGTCTGAATTGCTTCAAAATGAACATCAATTTCTAGTTCTGCTTTACAGAGTGTATGTTGTGTGTGTGGGAGGCAGGTAGGCACACTAAAGAGGGTAGAGTATTCTCTCTCTTTCAGCAGTTTCCATCTCCATGCCCTTTCTTGCTATTACCCCAGCAGTTCTGAGACAGGGATTCTTTGTGTTTGCTTTTTGGGTCAGGTTGTCCTGGGTGGGTTTGTCAATAGGGAGCCTATTAGTGTCCTGGGAATAAGAATTTTCTTTTAAACTCACTGTACTTACATGTAGTGCTCTGGCCATGCCTAACAGAAACCATGTGGTCTAACATAGTTTGCCTGCTCTGCTCCTTCCACTGTCCCCACACAAACCAAAGCATCGAAGATACACCATTTCTATCCCTTCCCCCTCCCTCTCTACCTGCGGTTTCTTTCCTTATTCTCCCCTTCCAATGAAAAAGACCCATAAAATGTTGGTTTCTTGTTTTTCATCCTTAAAAAAATGTCCAACTGTCACGTACCACATCCAATAACACCAAACTACATGGGCAGGGTCCACAGACACTATCTTGGTAAATATTATAAAAAACACTGACTCTACCTGTTGGGGTGGGGGTGGTTTTTGCACAAATGCAGGTTGTTGCCTGGGGTGTGATGTCCAATGAGCCTGGCTGACTAGTTTTGTGCTAATCATCCAAAGCAGCCACTGTTCCTAGGATTGCAAACCTGAAAGTGCCAAGAACTTTCCCTTTCTTCAGTCAGCTTGATGGAGCAGAGGTCATGAGTTGGGAGGATGTGGAAGACCATGAACCCCTAAACCTGAAGCTGACAAACCAGAGCTTTCCACAGCAGTGGCACACCTAACCCACTCTATTCCTTTAAGGAAAGTAAGATATTTGACAGAACCTGAAAATTATGGAAGAAGTAGCTTTTTATTTAACAGTCAGGTCCTGTATTCTTGATGTCCAACTGATATGGGAGAGAAAAACAAACCCAAAACACCCTCTTAGTTATTACAATGGTTTGTGGCCCTCCAAAGCTCAACCTACCACAACACAATCTTATTCATTCATGTCTGATTTTTTTCATTAGGGAAAATTTAAATTCATCTTATTTCATTAAATTTAGTTCTCATTATGGAAAATTTCAATTCAATTCATTTATTTTTCTTTTTTGGGGAGATGATAATGAAAGAAATATGGAGAAATCCTGCTGCAAGTATAAGCATTACAAAGTGAGGAGCATTGGAGAGTTTACTGCAGAATGCTGACATGCAGACTGAGTGGTTGAAGGAAGGGCATGGAGAAGTACTGAATCACTACTTTCCCTTGCCTTGTTTCTATACCTGCTTAGCTACCTTTTCCCTCCTTCAAGGGTCACCCCAAGGTACAACCCTTAAGGGTACACTGTCCCTCAATATGAATGTGAGTTAAGTTCCTATTTCTGTTTCAATTATTTGCTGAGGGCATGCAAGGTGGCGACTTTATTTGGGGGTGGGGGAGGAAGCAAATACAACTGCAAATATATGTACACTGTTGTAGAAAAGCAACTTTCTATAAAAAGTAAAAAACAAAAACATTCCCCACCCTCTTCCAGGAATATCTGACAATTAACTCATGAAGTCCTGAGATTTCCTTTCTTCCACAGTGACCTGCTGATACTTGCTTGCAAAATCCCATGGGATCTTTGTTTTAACTATCTTCATTTTAACTCTCCAGCCCTGAAGTCAGTTTAAGATGAACTCATCTCCCTATTTGGCTGGAACTTCAGGCTTTATTTTTAATCACACTTACAAAAAGCCCTAGTTCAGGTTGTCTCAAGGACTTACGAAAGCTCAATTTATCACCCTGAAGACAGGAAGAGCAAGTGGCAAAATGCTTAATTGGCCGATAGATAAAACCTGTCTCTCAAGCCCCAGCACTTGGGCTGCAATCAGTTTGCAGATGTACACTTTTCCACAAATGCACCCAAGGAAGCCCAGACAAGCCCAGAAGTTAAACCGGAAGAAAGAAGTCTTTATAGCTATGGGGTACCTGATTCTATCTTTTCCGGGGTATGATTTCTGCTGGGACTGTTCTTAATTGGCCTTCTCTTTCCCCAGTGAACTACAGTATGGAAGGAGAAAAGGCACATGTACTTTGAGATTGTTCTAGGAAGGAGGGGACTCCAAAGAGGGCCCCGTTTACCTAAAAAGGAAGTGTGAAACAAGATGAGGGTTGCTTCCAACATCCTTTCCATTTTAAATCACTTTTTATAGTGATGAAAACACAAGAAACACAGACACTGCCTACTGGATAATGCACGTAGTCAGAGATCACGCTTTATGCTTTTAGAGGTAGACCATTGTGTGGTGTCTCATAGGATAAGGCCTATGCCCACTCAGGTTTCGGGGTTGGTGCTTCTTTGCCTTTCCAAAACAAACTCAATCAAAACCAAAGCTCCAGGATTTCTTATATGTATTTTTTCTTCTTTCTTCCTTTTTTTTTTTTTTTGTCTAAACAGATTTTCACATTGTAAACAAAGAGCATTCTGTCTGCATTTGAGTCTTGCCTTTTTCTTCCTAGGGAACTATAAAGGAGTTTCCATGAACATCAAGAGAATTCCATCTTCACGGCTGACAGAGAATTCTTGCCTTTAGAGTCTTGCTGGCAAATTGTTAGAAAAAAGTCTATCTACAATACTTCTGCTTTTCCATACCAATTCTAATGTGGAGTTCACATTCTTAAATTCCCATAAGCAATTGTATCTCTCCCCTCCAAGGTCCTCTCAAGGACTTATCTGAGAAGTCTCAGGCCAATGTTTAAAATGTACACTATTTACAAATGGAGCGTCCAAATTCTGTATTCGTCCAAATTCTGTATTCAGTCAGCAGGGGGCCCTCTGAAGTGTTGTCATGTGCTGGGATTCAGAACTTGAACAAGTTGATAAAGTCCTGGGGTGAAAGTGGAACGGAGCAGCTCTCTGGATTGTTAGCTGTGCAAGGATGGTCAGTGCCCTGGAAAGACACATGGTGGTAAGTTTGGAGTTCCCAGAGGTGTTGCACTGAGTTTTGGCACCTTGAGGTACTGCCCAACCTCAAAACAACAATTCTCTCTCAAGAATGCCACAGCACTGCAAAAGTGATAGAGCTGTGTGTTTGCCTGTGTATGCACCTGTGCACACAGAGGTGGGAGAATTTGGAGGTGAGTGGGTTCCAGAGAAAAATAAACATAAGAAGGTGAAGGAAATGAGGGAAAATGAAGGAAAGTTTCTCCTCCCTTCCCAGGTGCTGGATCAGTTTTACCTTCCCTTTGATTTGGGGCCTGAGAGAGGAAAGATCAGAAAATGGCCTGGAGCTGCTGGCTCTGGGCACTAGGCTAGCGGGCTGTGGTAGCACCTCTGAAACACATACCTTCCAGGAAAGAATGTGACAGTGTTTGCAAAGCTGCAGGGTGTCCCCGTACTGCTCTTTCCTTGGGTAACATCGAACAAGCTTAAAATACATCTTCTTCCAATCCAGCTGCCCTTTGTCTGACAAAATTAATCGCTTGCGGATCTAAAAATCAAATGAATAAAAATAATTGCAGGAGAGTTGGTCAAGAGCATGGTTTGTGGTTTTCTGGTTCTTAAAAGTTCTACTCCTACCCTCGTTCCCCTTTCCCTCTCTATCCTACAATACCCAGAAGGGAAAGACTGCCAAGAAGTGCCTTCAAATCTCTCCTCAGTTACACAGTAGCTTTGAACCAGTCTTTGAAAGATATAGGTGGTTGGTGACAACTTACTAATGACCTCTACTAAATTACATTTAGTCTGTTAATACTTAAAGTTAGGTCACATTCATAATCCACTTCAACATTTTTCTCTGCTATAGACTTGAGTGATTATTTTCAGGGAGGTGCAGTAATTCTTGGCTGTGTTTGTGTGTGTGTTTCCCATCAAAACTACCTGGGGGTGCCGGGGTTGTGGCTTGGTGGCAGAGCGCTTGCCTCACATATATGAGGCACTAGGTTCAATCCTCAACACCACATAAAAACAAATAAACAAAATAAAGATATTTTAAAAATTACCTGGGGAAGAGAGGGGAGGGGCAAAGGGGTAAGAAAGATGGAATGAGAGGGACATCATTACCCTAGGTACATGTGTGATTGCATGAATGGTGTGACTCTACTTCATACACAACCAGAGAAGTGAAAAATTCTGTTCCATTTGTGTACAATGAATCAAAAGCTTTCTATTGCCTTGTATAACTGATTAGAACTAACAAAAAAAGAAAAACTACCTGGGGTGGCGGGGGAAGCAACTTTACCCACTATAGACACCTTCGATTGGAGTTTTCCAGTCAAACCTGGCAGCCCTGAAGTGGGGCAGCCATGCTTTATGTTAGAGGAGGACAAGGGAGAGGAGGATGGGGCAAAGGAGGGCCATCTGTGAGGCAGCTCGTGGGCGCCACTGACCTGCCTCTCGGAGAAGTGGTACTGGCAGAGCTTCTTCCACAGCAGCCGGTCCTCACTGAGCACGTGGAGGTCGGGGGCCGCCTGGCCCAGGCTGACGAGATCGCGCCCGTCGCTCAGCCTCTGCATGATGTTCAGTTGTAAGCATAAGGGCAGGTCGGTGAAGGTGAGGCCTTTGAAGGCAGGCTGCAGAGGGAAGGCGACAATAAGCCTGGGGTCAGAGAGCAGCCATTCTCCAGGTGACACACATTAAGGATGTGACTGTCCCCTCCTCTGCTACCCTCAAGCTGGCTTATTGATCACAGCTCAAAAAGTAATTGTCCCCATCCTACATACAGAATGGGACCCATAGCCGAGACACACGAAGAACAGCCTAGAGTGACTTGTGCTGATGGTACCAGAGGGAGTCTCCTAAGTTTCACGAAGCTCTGTGATTTTACTGTAAATGATTCTCCAAATAGCACAGGTTGAATTCTAGAGCTTCTTTCAATTCAGGGCTCAGTCATCATGTTTGCTACCTTCCTGAAGGCCTTATGGGCCTGGAGGGAGAGCCCCAACCTGCTGGCTGGCCTCTTGTCTCACTGCCCCCTGCCTCACTGCCCCCTGCCTCATGACCTTGGAGCCTCTATACAGGTTTACTCACAGGCACCTGACACATCTTGCCCACTTCTGCACAATGCCCCCCCCCCCCCCCCCCCCATGGTCCTCTCCTGTCCTTTAGGTGCACTTCAAACACATTTCCTCTGAACGGCCTTTCCTGCTTTTGTGATTCCCTCTGGCCTCATTTATTGCACCTCCCAGAGTGCCCATGATCTCTTTCAGATCTTTTTTGCAACACCTCCTATTTGTTATGTGACACCCCCCCCCCCTTTTTTTTTTTGGTATCAGAGATTAAACCCAATGGCACTTAAACACTGAGCCACATCCCCAGCCTATTTTATTTTTTATTTTGAGACAGGGTCTCATGAAGTTGCTTAGGGCCTCCTTAGTTGCTGAGGCTGGCTGACACAACTCTTCTAAAATAAATCCTAAGTGGTACCCCAGCCCTCTTCCTCAAGTTTTTAGAGAGTGAACTTCTGTAGGAAGCACATCAAAGCCCAAACATACAGAGGACCCCTGAGGGTCATGCAGCCTCAGTTATTGCTCCCATGTCCCCTTCAAGGCAGGACAGGCATGTAGTGGGAAGGTGGACTTGAGAAGGGGACTAACAAAAAGAACAGATGGCAGCATGGGGCAGGGCCCTCAGGTGGATAAGCAGCAGATCTGGATCCAGGTACCCTTGGGTACAGGGTCCAAAGTGGCCAGGTTTTGAAGACTGAAGATCCCTCCAGCTCTAACAATCTCAGACTTGGAGTGACTTCAGCCTCCTGGTTCATCAGAAGTGTCTATGACTTGGCAATTTTTATTGCTCCGTTCCACCCCAGGCTGCTGGGCTGAACTTTCAATTATTTGCAACGTTCAGGACTTCACGGGACCGCAGAAGGCCCTGGACCTATTTGTTGTTTATCATCTGCTGATCATATGAGCTAATAAAACTGCCATGAGATTTTCTTTCTGTTTCCAGCACTTCAAAGCCTCTACTTTTTTGGTTAAAACTCCCAGGCCAATTATTACATTAACTCCTATTAAAGGCAAGTCTACTTGGGCAGAGTTCACTCTGTCAAATTTTCAAACCTGAACTTTTCCTAATTCCTTGCCCAGACCCCATGCCAAGCCCTTATTCCTGATAAATGGTTAACTGCTTGCATGCCTTCTTCTGCCCGAATATAAACATATAAAAGAAAAATATGTCACTCTCGCTCCTCCAATCAAACATTGGCTAGAATCCATTTCTGTCGACCCTCCCCCTTGTTTCAAAACACTGCCTGGCCCACAGCAAGGTTATTAGATTTGATTTCTCTCCTCTACAAACCAGTTCTTTTAATTTTTCCTTCATCTTTTATTATGTGAATTATACTTGCCAATAAAAAATTGGTTCAAAATAATTAGATATGAAAATTTCGAAGGAAAACAAGATTATGTGTTGGGAAGATACTGCTAGAACTTTGGCAAATAAAAAGCATTTACTCCCCAAATCACCTTCCTATTTTCATGCAACAACATACCTCTCTTTTGGGCCAAACTGTTAAAAAGTATGTTTTAAAATACAGTCCAGACTGCAGTAATTAAGTCCCTTCTCTCTCTCTCTCTCTCCCTCTCCCTCTCCCTCTCTCCCCCTCCCTCTCCCCCCCTGTCCCTGTCCCTCTCCCTCTCCCTCTCCTTCTCCCCCCACCCCTGCAGAGTTGGGCATTCACATGGAAAGCTCTTCAGAGCTGGTGGGTTCCAGCAGGGCCCTGAAGATAATAGAGCTCAAAGCCCAGGAGGGTTGGGGCATAGGACATGATGGAGGAGGAAGCATAGCCCTTGAAGACAGGCCTGGATTCAATCCCTGTGCCAGATCCTACCAACACTGAGACTCCAGTCAAATTACACCCAGCCCCCCCATATCCTGAGACCTGCATCCTTGGATTTAACCAGCCAATTTAACCAGAAATTATTTTAAAAATATCACATTTGTGTTAAACTTGTATAGGCATCTTTTCTTGATCATTATTCCTTAAACACTATATCATGGCAACTATTTACATAGCAGTTAAATTGTATTATAAGTGATTTAGAGACAGGAGGTTCTGCATAGGTTAAATGCAAATACTATGTCATCTAATCTAAAGGACTTGAGCATCCATGGGTTTTGGTATGCTCAGAGGGTTCTGGAATCAATCCCTGGGGGGCTTATTGAAGATGACTACTCTAATTTTTCTCATTGATAAAATGAGGCAATGCATATCTTACAGTGCTGCTGGGTGGAGCAGATGGGATCATGCACAGAAGTACTTACTACAGTGACCAGTAAATTTTGGCCATTAGTTCTATTTACAATTCACTAGATGAGCTAATTAGTACATATGAAGGTCTTAGAAGAGTGAGTGCACAGAGCAAGCTCTTGATAATAACAACACTCAACACCTTTAAAACACTTGCTACACATCAGACACTATTGAAACTGCTTTGTATGGATTAATTTTATGAACACTCACACCAGGGCCTATTCCTATTTTCAAAGGGAGGAGAGCGAGGCATGGAGAAATCGAATAACTTTCCCCCAAACCTGCAGTTAGTCATATTTATCCTCCATGATCCATGGCAGTATTTTCTAATATGCACTGTTGAACCCTGGATAAGTACTTCAGTGGGTCATGGAGGAGACTCCCCTTCAAACGTGCATTCATTCAACTCAAACTGCTTGCCACCTCTGTGCCAGGTGTGGAGGAATGGGTAAGGCCCTGTCTTTGATATACAAACCATATCTCAGTAGTAACCCTAAATTGTAATGGCTTAAACGCAACATTCCACTCTGTCTTTGTGGAATCTGTAAACCAGTGGTCAGAGATGGGAAAGTACCTATGCATGAGATGATTTTGGATCATAGTAACTGCTCTGAAGAAGGCTGTGGTTTCAATAGTTGGGGTGGTCAGGAAGGTTGCAAGCCAGGAAGATCAGAGTGTACAAAGAGTAGCTGGGCTTGGCGGGACACCTCAAGCAAAATGAAGTGGGGTGAGCTGCTGCGTTTGGTCTCTTCTGCACAGGATTTCATTGGATTAAAAAGTTCTTTTTTTTTTAATTAAAAAAAAATGGATCACTGGATAAATAGTTGGAAGAAAACTGGATGGGGAAAAATGTTTGGAAACCACGAAAGTTAAGCTAGCTTTGCCATTTTAGGAATAAGCAGTCCAGGGTTCTGACCTTAGCTCTAGCTCTAATTGCTGTGTAATGCTGGGAAAGTCACTAGGCTTCTCTGGTCCCCATCCTAGCTCCAGCACGTGAAGGGTAATAGTAACTATTATGGTTACCTACCAAGAGTGTTTGGGGACCAACTAAGGAGAGCTCTGAGGGAGTAAGCCCATGCAAGTACTAGGTATGTCTGGGAATAGATGTGGCCAATGGGGGCTCCTATAGTGTGGGCAGGGGGACCATCTAATGGCTGTTCCAACATTGCTGGAGGGAGGATGTCTTTGGGACAAATGAGACTTGCTCCTTTATATCACTGGCTGGGTAATTCTTTCCTGATTTAAGATAGGAAATATTAAATCCAAGCCGGGTGTGGTGGTGCATGCCTGCAATCCCAGTGGTTTGGGAGGCTAAGGCAGGAGGATCTCAAGTTCAAAGCCAGCCTTAGCAACTAAAGTTGCTCAGAGCCTGTCTCAAAATTTAAATAAATAAGTAAGTAAGTAAAGGGCCAGGGATGTGGCTCAGTGGCTAAGTACTTCTGGGTTCAATCCAGGCCACAGAGAATTCTAGAAATCGAGAAGAAGGGGTAAATGAGTTTTCTCTGAGAGAGAAGACAAAATTTCAGTTTCAACTTCACACTGTCAAATGATGCCTACATTTGAGAGATGGGCTTGGGGTAAATTATTAGAATGCATCAGGTTACTATTCATGATAAACACTCATATTCTCTTAAAACAATCCAATAACTGAAATGGCTTCTGTGGGGCAACCCACCTTTGTGCTCTGCTCTGTGCATGCATGTGTGTGCCTGCATGAGCGTGTGTGGGTGTGTGAGGTGTGGGTGTTGTAGCCCACGTGACTCTTAAGAGAGCCAAACAACTCTGAGGCTTCTAATTATCCCCTCTGTTCCTGAGCTTAAGAAACCAAGGCATAGGGAAATTGTTAACAGTAAAGGACATGCAGTTCGAACACTTCACATAGTAAACCACTTCTTTAAAGGGGGTTGGGGGGCTAGGGGTGTGGCTCAGTGGAAGAACACTTGCCTAGCATGAGCAAGACCCTGGGTTTGATCCCTAGGACAATAAAATAAGGTAAAGGAGATCTCTGCATACTACCTTCTCCTGATATGGTACAGCCCTAACTTTATCAGTGTGGGTCCCGGAAACCACTTAAACAGCAGTCAGATAAGTCAGTGGTCAGATAAGTCAGTGTCAGATAAGTAGGCAAAGTGCCATGTGAGGTGCCTAAGTGTCTGTCCATTAGTGAGCCCAGAGAGATCATTCCAGCATCTTTTGTATATTTTTTGTGTGCCTCAGTCTTTCTGCTCACTATTAAGAGGACAAGAGCCGAGGGTGAGTTATGTTTTGAAGCTAAAAGGAACTACTGATAATGGTAGCCATGTTTTGCTGGTAACATATGGCTTCCCCTCGCCCTTTGAGTGAGAAGTGCCTGGTTTTGCACATGCATGTCCACAGTCTCTAATCACAGTCTTCCTTTGTACAACTAATAATTGGAAATAGGATTTTAAAAGGCTGGTACCAGTCCTCCAAGCCACAGCCTCCACAGCACTACTATATTCAAGGCAGCATCCCAAAGCTGCAAATAATTCATTCTTTGTGAGAAATGGGAAGAGAAATCTCTGCACCCTACTGAGTACTTCAGTGGGACAGCTAGCATCTGCCCTAAAGCCAAGATCCCATGATGTTTCAAGATCTTAGATGATTCATCTGGCTGTGCTCTTTCACATACTTTGATCCTGTACTGCCAAGTTCTTCTTCCTACCCTCCCTTTAGCAGGAAGCCCCCTCAACCTCAGCCCATCTTCTGCACCAGGCTAAAGCATGGAATCAGAGGAGATCAGACTCCTTCATCACAGTGTGGATTTGAAGTCCTGGCAAGACTGCCAGGCATCCCAGTGGCGGACCCAATTGCCTGGAGGAGGCTTCCCGCTTACCCTGGTAATCTGGATGTTGTTCAGCTGCTGCTGCCAGTGTAGAATCGTCTCCATGCGGTACACCCACATGTTAATGTTGCCCACCAGCACAGACTTGCCGACTCTCTGGACTAGTGTACATAAGGATGTATAGAGGGTCTGCAGTAGTTCCCTTATGAGTCTAATGTTTTGCTGGTCTTCAAGGACTTGAGTAGAGAAGAAAAAAAATACAGTTATGATAGTGGAACACTGTGTGTTTTTAAAGTGAGCTTTTCTTCTCATCTGCTCCTGTTACCAGGCACTGACTGCCTCTGGGGATACAGTTTTCTTTCTCACCAGTGTTGATTCTACATTTGGCCAAGCTTCTGTACTCAAGGCTAAGGGGTAGAGTTTCCATGATCTAGGTCCCTCTTTGTTCTTCCTGATTCTCTATAAAGCCCCTTTCTCTCTCCATTGTTCCATAGCACCAATGATTCACCTGATCTGAAAGCTGCTACTTTTGCTCAGTAGTGGCATCTTTTAGAGCACCAGTGGAAAGAACACAGTTCTGGGGTTAGGAGGTTGGGTTCTAATCCTGTCTGGCTGATCTCTGTATGATTGTGGACAAACCCCTTCTCCTGGGTGTATAATGACCTACTTAAGCCAGAAGTCTAAGGTTCCCTGTAGCTCAAATAACCTAAGAATTGAGATGCACACAGCTAAATTTCCTCGTCATTTGGAGACTCAGTAGCTAAGGGTGGGATGTGTGCTCCCATGGAGAAGCTTGCGATGCAAAGCAGAGCGAATGAATCATCCCAGAGACACAGGACGATGATGGTCTCATTCTTTGCCATCATCAGAACGTGGTACCCCTGAAATGCAGCTGGAGTTATTCATTTCCATCCACTGATATTAATTTAAATCAAATGACATGTCTACTGTATGAGAAATCCATCTGTCCATCACCTTGCCTACAAAAAGGGTGAGAGAGTGGGCTCACCTTTTAGTACCACCTTTTCCAAAATGTTCATGAAGTTCTTTTGGGCGATACCACTCAGGGATGTGAGCTGTGACTTTGCTATCAGTTCCAACAGCTGTGGATAAAAATAGAAGTTGCCAGGCTTAGAATTTGGAGATATTTTTCTCTTCTAATCTTCACTTTTGAGTCACATGACATGTAGACACAGACTGACGAAGAGAGATAAATGGCAGGCAGGACTACCAGGCAATAAAGCAGATGTTTGACATGAGAGACAAATGGGGTAATTCAAGACCCATGAATCAGGCTGAATATTTAATTGCTTTTTTCCTTTTAAATGTAAAGACTTTTGGCTTTGGGGGTGGGTAATCCATTCTACTTTCCCTACTTCAGTGGGCAGAGCTGAGGGTACTCTGAAGAGAACAAAATCTCCCATGATGCCTCTTGAGTTCTGCATAATCAGTCCCCCCTACCCGCCTCACAGAACTTCTCTGCTCTGCTCCCACTTGAACTTTTCCCCCATTGGCACCGACTGCCTTGGAGGCACCTGGAAGCTCATGTTCAGTACTTCATGCATTTTTCAAGGACATAGCAATTAGTTTCCAGATATCTCCTGCTTATCAAGTGTTCAATAAATGCACCTATTCATTAGAATCTCACTGCACTCAACTTTCTATAGAAAGGGGCCAATCAGAGCAGAGTGAGGGCAATTTAAGGACTTGTAGTCTGAATACCTGTTTTGATCTGGTGGCAGTGATGTCACTGTGGCTGAGAACTAGGATCCTCATAATTCTTAGCCTTGATCAAGTCTTGATTTGACTGTGATTATGGGCAAGTCACTAGCTTTCTTGGTAACCCAAGGTTTCTATTAATACTCAGAGTCCCTGAGGTTGTTGTGAGCTTTAAATGAGACAATGCACATACAGCCCTTAGTGCAGTGTCTGGAACATATTGGGTGCTAAAAAATATCGATTGGCTTGTTGAAGGACTATGTCCCATTCCTAATCTGCTATCCCCAAATGAAACAGATAAGAACTGAAGTTGGTGTGTTCTTAGTTCAGTTTTCTTTCCTTGTATGGGAAAATTCTGTACTCCTGTGTCATGATTTTAAAAACCCCAAAGATTCTACTGTTGAAACACGAAAGTTCAACAGTAGAATCTTTGCAGGGGTCTTACAGATGGTCTAGTTCGACACACTAAACAGATGAACAAAGTGAGGCTTAAGCAAACAACTTCACAGCCAGCAAGAGGACAAAGCAGTATCTTGGAAATGGGAAAATAAGGAGACACTCCTCATGCTTTCCAACAGGTATCAAAAGAAAGGGTTGACACAAAGTGAAAATTAGTTTCAGAACCCACCAGGTCCCCAGGAGAGCAAACTAGATTGAGACTTTGTAAAATAGAAAACTAAGACCCTTTCTTTCTTGGAATTCCTGTTCCTAGGAACTTTCTATAAGAGATGGCCCTGGCCAGGATCCCACGCAACTCCAAAACACTGACTATGGTGCTGTGTTGGGTGCTGGCATCAAGGCTGAGGGAAGAAGCAAAGTGAAATTTAAAAAACCTGGGTTGCAGAGGAGGACTGAAATCTTGGCTCAAGCCCCAGGCAGTTGAGAGCACCTCTGCTTCCAAAGCACTTGTTCAAACATTTGTCCCCACTGAGCCTTTTAGGCACCTGTCAAACCCCCGGAAAGACTTCATTTCCTGAACACAAATTTTAAGTTGAAAAATAAGAGAAAAAAAAGAGAAACCCAAAACACTTTTCGTGCCTGGATATGTATCTTCCACACACATAGGAACTGGTTTTTGGGGTGAGAACTAGTGACCTAAGGCTGGAAGGTAGGAGCTGACTGTGTTGCTAAGAAAGGCAAGAAATCAAAACACGGGTAGAGGACATGGCTATGGGCAGTGACCACACTGAATGCTCTCTGCCTATCTGATTTACTTCTGCCACCAACCAGCATGTGACAGTCAAGAGATGAGTGAAAGTGGCACAAAGGGGCTAGCCAAACTTTTCATTTATCTCCCTGACCCACAGCAAGATCCAGAAGGCCCAGGCGGTGGTTTATTAATACCCTGAGCCTCACATGATCAGCACAGAGCAAGATGAAAGAAAACAAAAGCCGGGAGTCTGCTCTGGAGGCAGCCCGCTCACTGTGACTCACCACTGGGTGGGAGGTGGGTCGAGGGGGCAGGAGGAGCGAAGGCAGCGCTTGGCCTGAAATCTGTCCAAAACCCAGATTCCATGTGATTACCATCTCATGGAGGGTGTCAGTTTTAATCTCGTCTAAAAGTGCACCAATCACAAGGACAAGAAAACTCTGAAGGCTCTGACTGTGCATTTAACGGGAAACAAAAAGCCCTTTGGACTGGCTGAGATTATCTTCTTTGACTAGGCCAGGGAAGAATATATCAGCAAGGATTTGTCAACAGACAGCAGAATGACATGTCAACTACTCTGTGTTTCATCCGATCTCAAGGGAAAGTCTCTTTTTTTACTGCCAGGCAGCTGTGGAACCCTGGAATAGGAGACCTGGATTCTTCAGCTTGGTGACCTTTACAACTGTCATTCATTTGGCAAGTGTTTCTGAGTGTTCACTTTGTCCTAGCGTTGTGGTAGGTCATGCCCATCGGGTATGACGGTAAAGACACATGATCCTTAGTCTCAAGGAGTTTACTGTCTAGTCATTTAATCTCTCATAGCCCCAGTTTCTTTATTTCTAAAATGGCAATAAAAAAACTACCTACTTCACAGGATTATTATGAGAATTAGGTGAGATAAATACGTAAAAATCCATGCCCCAAATAAGGCATTATTATTATTATAAGATAGTTTTCTTCTTTGAAATCCCAGTCTGCTAGTGAAGTTTGAAGTTGACATCTGGGGTTGGCAAACTTCTGAAAAGGGCCAGTTTAGTAAATGTTTAGGTTTGTGGATTTCATGGTCTCCTCTGTAACACTCAGGTTTATGGTGGTAGTGCAAAAGCAGCCTTGAACAATATGTAAATGATGTGTATAGGTGTGTTCTAATAAATCTTTATTTACAAAAACAGGTAGAGGGCCAGGTGCTTGGGCCATAGTTTGCCAACTTCTGATTTATAGCCTAGAGTTTAAGAGTGGAAGTTCCAGAGCCCAACTGCTTGCCTCAGTTTTCCCATCTATAAAATATGCATAATAGTAGCATCCACTTCAAGTTACTGTGAAGATTAAACAAATTCATATAGCACTTACAACTGTGCTTGGTATACCAAATACATTATTATCATTGGCTTTTATCATAATACAGAGAATATTGCTAGATAAAATTATTGCCATTGCAGAAAATAGTGAATTAATAGGACAAAGTATAACCCATTTAAAGACTCTATATTCTAGTTGTGTTGTCAATTAAATGCTTTCAAATTTAAATGTTTCTTTCTGTCATTTTTATTATGTTTGTGATGCCTTTAATAACTCCCTGTCTGTTGGTAAAAGCTAATGTTGACACATCTTTTAGACTTGCATAGATACATGTACCATGAAATCTTATTTTGCTAACAATAATAAGTGTTTACCATGTGACAGAGAATGTGCCAAGGGCTTTGCATACATGATCTTGTTTAATCTTCAACAACAACCCAATGAGGTAGTTTGCTAAAATGAAGACACTGAGGCTCGGAGAAGTTAAATAACTCACCTAAAGACGTACCAGCAAAAGCAAATGTGGGGCCAAATTTTACTCTTAATAGTAGCAGTACTATGTATTGTTATGTTCTGGGGACACAGAGCTTGGAAATTCACATCAGTATTATTCTGTGACTGGTGATCAGCTTTTCATGTTAAGGGAGAAACAATATGCAGCATGTTTGTAATAGCACATTTAGGAGGAGGCAATTGCTTTGGGTTAAACATTCAGTTTATTTTGTACGCAGGTCCAGAAACAATAGCAGTGTTGTTTGGGACTAGTAGTAAAGAGGACAGAATTTGTTAATTTGACTTCAATGTTCATCGAGTTGTATGCCCCTGGGGCAGTAGGTTTGTATCTAGCAATTTGTTTACCAAAATGACTGAGCCAACTGGATTCTTCCTCCTTAGCCACAAGAGAAAAAAGAGAGCAGAGGAAAATGGATTGTTTGGAAGTGGTTGTTTGTTTTCTACTGGGCAAATTTAGCCCAGGTGCCAGTAATTTGAGGCTGTGTTTGAGAGGCAAGAGGGGGAGGGGGAAAAAGGAGGAGGGCTCTGGGCTCCTCCTGAATTCCACCTTGTCATTGTGGTGTGGCCAGTGTGGTGATCAGGCCTGATCTGTAGTGACTGGTTGAGCAGTAATAGGAATGAGGCTGTGCTACTAGAGGAAGGGGTGGTGGTCACCACTTGCCCAAACCACATCCTGCTCTTCAGCTTTAGCTCTTGCTAGTTTGGAGATGATGAGTTGGAGAAAAATCTAGTTGCAGGCAATGCGGAAGAGCAAATCTCAGAATGCACATCAACCACAACTGAAGTGATATTTGGAAGACACACAGGCAGGAGAGAGTTCCCTCCTACATTACTCACATAAAAGCAAGCTCCTTCTCTTCCCTCAGTGCATCCTAACATCGCTCTCTTATTTGTAAAAATACATCAGTGCATATCACTTCCATGCTTAAAATCCTCAAATGGGGCTGGGGTTGTAGCTCAGTGGTAGAGCTCTTGCCTAGCACATGTGAGGCACTGGGTTTGATCTTTAGCACCACATTAAATAAATAAATAAAATAAAGGTATTGTGTCCATCTACAACTTAAAAAAAAAAAAAAGTAACAAAAATAGCAGCTTCCCTTGCCTGTTAGTTTAGAAGGCCAAAACCACATGGAGGTTAACCATGAGGCTGTTGCCCAAGCATACTCTATCTCATGGGAGATTGTTAAGAACAGAAGTTATGCTCCAACTCTTCCATCTCCCATGACAGCAGGGCTCTGAAGCTTGACTGGAAAGTCTGCCACTGTTATCAAAGGCAGGAAAGAGGACCAGCCTCAAGAAGTCCCAGCCATGTCTCAGGCTCAGTACCCAAGCTGGGTGCCCACCAGAAGGTGATGTCTTTTGCAATAAACTCTTGGTTATATTAGGCAGGGCCTCTGCCTGCACTCAGTACCATGCACTTCC